AGAGAGGGAGGGAGGGAGGGGGGGGTGGGGTTTTTTTTTTTTTGGTTGCGCGCTCTCTCTCTCTCTCTCTCTCTCTCTCTCTCTCTCTCTCTCTGTCGTCGCCTGTGGAGGCTGTTAAATTTTAAACTGCCATGCACTCTGCTTCCAGTATGCTGGGAGCAGTGAAAATGGAAGGGCACGAGCACTCGGATTGGAGCAACTACTACGGAGAACCAGAGGTAGGAGCAACTTGCTGCCGCGTGTGTGTGCGTGTGTCCCCCGCCCCCCGCACCCCGCACCCTTCCCTTCCTTGCCTGCCCTTGCTGGGGCGCACCCGGGGCTCTTTTTTTTATACGCCACCGTGTTAGCCTTGAGATAATATTAACTTGGCGATCAAATATTGACTTGTGGCGCCTCCAAATCCTCTTCCCCAGCCCAAGCCGCGCTATCCTAACAAAGTTGTGTTTGGCAGGGACCTGTTGGGGAGGGGGTGGCAGTTCCGAGAGGGAGGGGGGCTTGAAGGATAGAGGTGTGTGTGTGTAGGGGGGTGGGGGGGTGTATTGCTTTAAATCTCATTTTAGGAAGAGTCCCAAGATGAGAAGCAACGCGGTCGAGCGCCGGGGGGCTTCATCCAGCCGCGCTCTGAGCGACCCAGCAAGCCCAGGGCAGCACGGAGCCAGCGGGCAGCCTCCGGCTTGGCTTGCCCACCTCTTTCCGCAGCGACTCCTCTGCCTTGTTTTCTTGGGGGGGTGGGGGGATCTTCCCCCCCAACTTCCCCTGCCCTCCGGATTTCAGATCGCGGGGCCGTTTCCTTTCCAGGGGCTGAGCAATCAACCTGCTGCCAACCATTTTTAATGATCATATATATATATATGTATATATAGACACACACATATTAATGATCATATATATACATATATATACATTGTTAATGATCATATATACACACATATATTACTGATATGTAATTATTATATTAATGTAATGATCATATATATAATATACATATGATCATTAAAAATGGTAGCAGCAGGTTGATTGCTCAGACCCTGGAAATGAAAGGACCCTGCGGGCATATCTATGCATAGTCTGTGAAATGTACAGCTATAGGTACAGTATCTACGAGATAGATAGATCTATATCCATATATCTATATTTATCTATATATATAGATATATATAGCTATATATATATAGTAATGCACCTATAGCTGTACAATAACTGTACATTTCACAGACTATGATTATATATGTATAGCTTAGATATGTAATATGTATGTATAGCTTAGAAATATATATATATAGTTAAATTAGATTCATGTAGAGTTAAATCATATATAGATATATATCTTTATATATATAGTTAATTTTATATCTATATTGAATTAAAGATAGATATATAGATATATTTATATAACTTTGACTTTAAGTTAAATTATAGATATGTATTGATATAGATATCCATAGATATATATCTATATAGAGAGCTATCGATATACATGGATATATCTATCTATAGATCTATAGATAGATATATCTAGATCTATAGATAGATATATTCACTTAAAGACGGATATATAGATGGATACAGATATATAGTTCCTCCCCCTCCTCCCCCCCAGCACACCCTTGCCAAGTAAATACGGAGCTGGCAAGCTCCTTCCCAAGAGGCGACCCGGCTCTATCCTAGGAGCTCCTAGTTGAACCTTCATTTCTCTCCCAATTTCTGCCCACGCAGAGCAACAAGCACAAAGCGAAAGGCAACTCCCCCACCTCCCCGCCCCGATCTCCTACCACCACCTCCCCGGTATGAATAATAGCGCTCGGGCAGTGGCTTCAGGGCTGGCTGGGCTGCGAGGAGAAGCATTGCTATAGCAGCCTATGTTGTATGCATTGAATAGAAGTCAACGTTAATCATCCCCCCCAACTCTCCCTCCTCCTCCCCCCTTGTCCTTGCAGAGCTATTCTTCAGTGAGCAACATGAATGCCGGGCTGGGCATGAACACCATGAACACCTACATGGGCATGCCCGCCATGAGCACGGCGGCCAACATGACGGCGGCCAGCTCCATGAACATGTCGTACGCCAGCACGGGCATGAGCCCCTCCCTGGCGGGCATGTCCCCGGGCGCGGGGGCCATAGCGGGCATGGGCACGGCGGGGGTGCCGGGCATGGCGGCGCACCTGAGCCCCAGCATGAGCCCCATGGGCGCGCAGGCGGGCTCCATGGGCGCGCTGGCGCCCTACAGCAACATGAACTCCATGAGCCCCATGTACGGGCAGTCCAACCTGAACCGCTCCCGCGACCCCAAGACGTACCGGCGCAGCTACACGCACGCCAAGCCGCCCTACTCCTACATCTCGCTCATCACCATGGCCATCCAGCAGTCGCCCAACAAGATGCTGACGCTGAGCGAGATCTACCAGTGGATCATGGACCTCTTCCCCTTCTACCGCCAGAACCAGCAGCGCTGGCAGAACTCCATCCGCCACTCGCTCTCCTTCAACGACTGCTTCCTCAAGGTGCCCCGCTCCCCGGACAAGCCGGGCAAGGGCTCCTTCTGGACCCTGCACCCCGACTCGGGCAACATGTTCGAGAACGGCTGCTACCTGCGCCGCCAGAAGCGTTTCAAGTGCGAGAAGCAGCTGGCACTCAAGGAGGCTGGCGGCGGGGGCGGCGGCGGCGGGGGCAGCAAGAAGCAGCAGCAGCAGCAGGGGCAGGGACAGGGACAGCCGCAGCCGGCCGCGCTCGGGGACAGCGGCGCCTCCACGGGCTCCGACGACCCCGCGGGCACGGAGTCGCCCCACTCCAGCGCCTCGCCCTGCCAGGAGCACAAGCGCGCCCTGGCCGACCTGAAGGGCAATCCGGCGCTGAGCCCCGCCGGCCAGGCTCCCTCGCCCGCCCAGCAGCAGCAGCAGCAGCACCTGCTGGCTCAGCACCACCCGGGGCTGGCGCACGAGGCGCACCTCAAGCCCGAGCACCACTACGCCTTCAACCACCCCTTCTCCATCAACAACCTGATGTCGTCCACGGAGCAGCAGCACCCCCACCACCACCCCCACCATCA